CTTCATGCTGCAGTATCTGGCCTGAACATACTAGAGATTCAAATTCAGGTATTCCTGCTTCCATAGAAAGTACTTTTACCTACTGAGGCATTCCCCCAAAGCCTCTACTACTATTAAGTGTTTCTCCTCCTTCATTTAGCAGGCAGAAAAAGGTAAGGGCAGCTCCTTGATCTGCTAGACACCACAGCTGAGTCTTGATTTAAAATTGATGCTGAATATACATATCATGAACATTATTCCACCAAAATCAAAAAACAACAAACTGAGGAGTGGAGCATCTCAGCAAGGAGTACAGGTCACTCTGGCTTCCCTGGGAAGCTGCTGAGCTTGTTTATGAAACAGGTTGTTACTTCACTCAACATGAGTCCCTCTTTAACTCACAAATTAGTTAGTGCCAGCAGGACAAGAAAGAAGGCAATGGCTTACTGGGTGGGTGCAGAGAATCTAGGAGAAACAGAGACAGCTTCCTTCTCTTCTGAATAAATCAAACATATCTCAAGGGCTTTTCATAGGTATCTAATGTCTTTCACTAACCACACTTAATTTAATTATTTCAAAGGTGAATTAGATGCTGGAAATTCATTTAACATAACAGCAATGCTAATGCTTATAAATTGTGCAATCAATTAAACCCTTAAGGAAGAAATGTATAGGCTGTAAATGAAATATATATATCCAGTAGGATTAAGCAAAAGCTAATCATGTAAAATACCACCTTTGGTCTAAGCAGAAGAACACGCTATTGTTGTCATTCCAAATTGAAGTCTTGCAGGGCCTGCTTTAATATTCAATCATGTTAATTGGCAATTCTGAATTTAATGTGTTTCCATAACTTCTTCCTCCTGAATCTGAAATTATTTAGCTTTAGGCTGTTTCTTTTGGTTCTAACCTATGATCAACATTGTTATCATTGTAAAAAGTGTATGTCTGAAAGTGTTACCATGGAGGACGTGGAGCTGGTTACTGAGAACACACCGAGAAATAAACATTAGTCCTTGCCTTTGAGGGGAGAAGAGATACATTTTTAGATTTGGGGCACTTGTTTAAAAAGAGGAGGAGAAAGGAATTAGGAGTGGGAAGAACGATTAAGGACCTAAAGATAAGATTCCACATTGGCCTAGACTGGACTTTCAGTCTTGAGCTTTTCTAGTGCCTTGCACAAAGTAGGCAATTAACCCAAGTTTGATGACTTCATTTTGGTGCAGCATTCTGCCTAAGAATGAAATCAAGAACACAGGTGAGAAAGTGCTATATGTAGAAGTTCTTAAAGATGGTCTTTGAGATGAGATGTCTCGCAAAGGTGCACTTGTGTAAGTCAGGGGGGTAACCCACAGCTGGCTGTGAAAGTATTGGCTGCAGACTCAGTGTAGGTAAGTTCCTGATTTAAAATATCAACTTCATAGTGGCAACATTGGCATAGATCCTTGTCCAAATTTAAACACAGATTTTTAACCAGATGGTCGGGGAGCATTTTGCAAAGCATGCAGAGATCCCTGGAAAGGCACTGTCAGTAAACTCAGAAGTAGGCATGCACGCCCATCTCGCTCTCTAGTCTGATAGGTCTGGCACTTGTCAGGTTGGGGAATGCAGTAGAGGGTCTGCATCTCATTTCAGCTTTCGATGAAATCTCTCCTTCTGTTCTTAATAAGGTAGATGTGGATTAGTTGATAACATTATTGAATGGATTTGTAGTTACTCAAACATCAACACCTAGGAGTATGGATTGATGTCTTTGTGTCCTCTGCCCTTCTCCTGTCCAACATTCTTATCCAACACTGAGATGAGGGCAGGCAGCCCGACCCATCAAATTTTCACATGGCTCCCTCTGGGAAGCTTAACTCTGAGATTTTGGCATCTTCAGTTGCCTTGACAACTCCTCTGTTCCAGGTCCTGGTCTCTCTTCATCTTCAAAGTTTGTTTCTCAACACAGTTGAGGCCAAAGGCAAATATGTCAGACAGTGACACAGAGCATTTTCCCCAGGGGTCCCATAACAGAATGAGCTGCCTTGGGAGGGCAGAGCAAGTTCAAGTCCTTGTCAGGCTGTTTCTAGGTCTCTGTATTAGGGAGCAGTTGGGTATGAAGCATCTCCAGAGTTCTCCTGTGCTCTCTTTTTTTCAGGGAGATAGGTGCAAAGAAAAGAAAACTTGCTTTCAAAACAGAACTCACTTCACTCCTTATACCCTGGATGACTCTCAGGTTTTTCATCTGTATAAACAGGAGTTGTAATTCCTACTTCATAAAGTAGAGGGAAGATGAAGTGGTAGGGCTTGTCTAGTATGCTGAATGCTTAGTAGGCCTTTGGTAAATACTCATTTTCTTCTGGACTTCCGGCGCCTGGATCCAAAGGGGTACTTTGTAAATGGGATGAAGGGCTCTTTGAGGGGCGCCAGGTACCATACAAAGACTCCAGGACTTGGTTAGATGCAACCCACTAAGGACCTCTTTGCAAGACCAGCACTGCCAGGCTAAAATGGCCCCCAATATAGTGATGTAAAGAGCTCTTGCTGCCTTTGAAAGTCTTTGCAAAAGGATACATTGGGTCTCTCATTAGCCTGTCCTGGACTTTTAGGCAGGTTGCCCAGTGTCCAAGGGAACTGGCCCCATGTCTTCACTTGACAAACAAGCAGAATCCTTGACTTGGTGAATTTGGGGGCAGTTTGGTGGAGGAAATTTGAGTCTTTGGAATGGCTCGAACAAGAGGCTCTGCTGTGTCATCATGGGCCCCTGTTATATCAGGCTCCTTGCAGCTCCAGTTAAGCCAGTCTGGAAGACAAGGGGTGTGTTGGACTACCTTCTCCTTCCAGGTCATCCCAGACCCCAAGTCTTTGGATTCCAGGTCACAGGCTGGCTTTGAGATGGCATTACAATGGGGTTATTTGGGTGGTTCAATAATTTTTATCTTATGGATGAAGACTCAGGATTGATCTCCTACTATTGTGACAAAGGCAAGCTCTTTAGAGATCACGTGTATGAGTGTATACATGTCGCCTCAAGGCTCATAGTTCCTTGCTATTAGGCTTCAATTGGAACTATTTTCTTTCTTTCATGCATTTATTCATTGCACAAATACAATTTTCTCTCCTGCTATGGCAGACTGTGCTTTGTGCTGGATTCCTCCAAGTTACCAGTATGTTCTCTACAAAAAAAACAAAACAAAACAAATCTACCACATCTAACGTTTGGCACAATGAGGAACACAGAGTGTTTAATGTACCTTAACTAAGTTCATAGAGCTGGGATGGAATTAGGATTGTGCTAGATACTTCCTGCCTACTCCCAGGCTGCTGCTTATTCCCTGCCCTTCTCCCCTCTGCAGGAGGCTGAGCAGACTACATGGAGGTCAGCCATGACTCTTATTTTCTGGTTCTCATTAGGTTTGGCCAGTGGGCAACATTACAGATAGAGGGAAGGAAAAGTGTGACATTCCTGGGGCATTGCACAGTGTGTCCTTGACCAAGGGCAGTATGTCCCATTCCCAGGCAGCCTTCTCTATGCATGTCTCCCTCTGGGTTCTAGTAGACATGCCTGTCCCTTCAGGCCTGCCCATGGCTACCAGTTCTAAGCTGTTGCTTTCTCTTGGAGGTTTTCTTACTTTGTCTATACCTTTAGAAAGAATCTCTTTTTCTAAATTCATTTCAAGTTATGCAGTTTGGAAGTGCCACTTCTCTTCTCCTGAGTCCTTGAGTGATAAAGGTCATCTATTCTAACCTCATTTTGACAGTGGAGAAAGTCAGGAAGTGACTCACCCCATGTTACAAAGCTAGAGAGAAAACCAGGAGTCCAATCAAAGAAGTCTATGATGAATATATGGGAAATTGACCCAGTTTTTCTGTTTTCTTGTGTTTAGTCTTTTTTCTCCCCTCAGTCCCTGGAAAGTGCTGTCAGGAGGTTTCACAGTGTAATTAATTATGCTGGCACATTCAATGAATGGAGCTATGATTTAGCAAGTCTACTTGAGATGCTGATAAATTAAATAATGAAATGCACATTTCAGTCTCAGTTTAGAAACTCCAAATCCAAACCTAGTTGAGGAAAAGTGTATAATCGTACATTCTTTTATAAAGAGGAAATCTTTACATAACTCCCATGCTGTAGTCCCTTCCTCCTGCCCTACTCCCCTCCCCTCACATCGGTTCTTTGTTCAATAATCTATTATCAAGTGAAGTAACATTCAAAGTATTTTATAAAGTGTAATGTGAGACTGGAGAGAAGGCCTAGCAGTTAAGAGCTAAGAATCCTCTGTAACTCCAGTTCCAGGGGATTAGACATCCTCTTCTGACCTCTGTGGGCACTGCCTGACATGGATGCACTTACATACATGCAGGCAATACACTCATACACCTAAAATAATAAAATATTGTTTTTAAAAAGTGTAATTGGGGGGGGTAGATAGCTGACTCAGTGGTTAAGAGCACATACTGCTCTTCTAGGGGACCCAAGTTTGGTTCCAACACCCATATTAGGCAGCTTTCAAAACCCATAACTCCAGTTCCATGGAATCTGATGCTTCTGGCCTCTGCAGGCACCCACACTCATGTGGACAGACTCAGGCACAGACACAAATGTACCCACACAATTAAATCCTTTTAAAAGTGTAATGTGCTTTATAAGATACAAAATGTTGTAGTTAATGCACAGCCCATCTCTGGTTTAAAGAACATATGCTCATAAGCAGCCTTTTTTGACCATTACCTGCCCTGTCGGATCTAAACTCTTTTTAAAAAAATACATGTCATTAATCCAGACACAAAGACTTGGTCTTATTATGCAGGTCTGTTAACTCCAACCAAATACTCAGAGAAAAACCTTTCCTATACACCTAAAATTAATTTCACTCTATCTCTGAAGTCTGTGGAACTAATCTGAAATTCTTCATCTGGAAAGTGGGGTTAGTATCTAAATGATGTATTGGTCCAGATGTATTCCTTTTGTTCCACGCCCTTTTCCTAGTTCCCAACCCCAGCTCTAAAATCTTTGAGATACTGTCATCGCAAGGAGGAAATGTGGCAGAGCTGTAGAGACAGGCCCCAGGACAAATGGAAGACAACACCTCTAGGTTTTCTTTGCTCATAATGTAGCACTGTCTGCCCCCGACCAGCACCAGGCAACTGGAACAGGAAAGACTCAAGTGCTGAAATCTGTACTCTTTCACTAAAATTTTAAGATCCTGTCACAACTCACTGCCTTTTTCCTGCAACTCACTTCTTTAAAAGTGTACAGGATGTTGTGACAAATATATACAACATGGATTCAAATCTTGCTTCAAGGTTACCGTGTAGACAGAGACTGTGTGATGATGCCACATTTAAGGGACTCACATCATAGATGCTGTAGAGTTTTGGTTTTTATGACAGTTTTCTGGAAGATGGTAGTAGACTGGCTTCTTCTGTTAAACCAATATGATAAAGACAATTTTACAACAAATGAAAGTTAAATGTCTTGAAAAAGGGCATGTTTCCAAACACTGTGACATTCTCTTACACTTCACGTAGAAAAAACAACTCTATGAGTTTCTGAGAATTCTTTGTTCTAGTTTTCTGGTCCAATCAATAGGCATCCTTAAAATAGAGAGGGTAAATATTTGCCAGGAATACCACAACATTCTCTGCTCATGGAAGACTCCAGGAACCAACATGGCTTTCTTTCCCAACAAGTCCAGTTACAACACATACTGTATGCCAGGCAACCACCTCTAAACAAATGAATTGTGGAATGTTAGCTGCTATTTTCTCCCATTACCCAAGAAGGCTGTTCTATAACATGTCAGGATTTTGTCATAAGATGAATCTACAAGGTATGGCACATGATGGTGATGGTTGTTTTGTGGGGACACAAAACTCACCAGAGCTATCTGAATGTTTCCATGTTTCTGTATACTGTTCCCTCTACTGGCAACACCTGACTTCCTCCTTTCTACCAACTTATGCACTGTCGCAATTCATTCATCTGATATGAGAACCTTGGCCTGTTGGACACTGTGCTTGCTACCTTGAGCACCTGGGCTTGTAGATCCACTGACCTCATCACACTGGTCTCTCTTCTCTACTCTATAAGCTCTACACAGACCCAAGCTCTGTTGCTCCCTACTAATCAGCACTTGAGAGCAATTTGTAAATCACCGTAAAACTCTTTGTAATTCTTTTGTGTGTCTAGGCACTGAATTTCCATGAAGAGAGAAAATTCCCTGAAGACAAAACTCTTTCTCTTCATTTTAAGTCCAATACTCTGTCCACATGGGAAATCTGCAAACCATATTATTTTGGCCAGGTAAAGGGCTTGAAAAATAAAGTGTGATCATATAATAACTAGTCCCTAGTCACCTTTTTCATCGAGATCAAGAAAATGAATATAATCATAAAATGATTATTGCTCTCCTGGTCCAGAAAGTAAATTTAAAATTTTTCTTTCCTCTTAAGTCCAAAAACACAAACCTAATTGAGAGCTCCTGAAATCTTTATAACACTATCACTTATAATAAGTCATACTATTATAACTCAAAATACAATTTCTTATGTCATTGCTATTAACGTCTTTAGGATTCAGTTCTTTCTCCCCACCCTCATTTGGCCAAATGCCTTTCAGTGAGGGCGTATGGAAGCCGAGAAGATGATAAAGAACTGTGGGTTTCAGTATTTATTCCATGCCTTCCTAGGATTGGAGCCATATTCCTTCCAGATGAGCGGCATTTCGACTCTGGGTGATATGATTAATGTCCAAATAACATTTAAGAAGCAGGGAAGGAGGCAATTTGACTGAGTTGGGATGGATGAGGAGAGATATCCCTTACTGAGTATCAAGCATTTCAGGCAAGGAAGCACATTCACTGATGTAAATGCGAAGAAATGAAAATAGAATAGTTATGAAAGGTGGCCTTTCTCAGGAATCCAAACCACGTTGGGTATGTGGGTGGAGAGTCTGCAGATACAGGGGATGCACTGAAATTCTTGTGTCCTGGTTTCTACATCTGTTGAATGGGAGCAATGGTGCTGTTGTCTGTCAATGATCTCTCTGTTGTTGTGAGGGTTGAAGTGAAGGGCATATATGCCCTGGTGCAGCTTGGGTCCTGCACAAGAACCCTTTGCAGAATAGAGGAGAGAGACCCCTATCGAGCTGTATATGCTTGCCAAGTCAGAGCCTTTTGATCATTTGTTTTTGCTCTTGACAACTAAGAGCTGGAGGATTTTTTTTCTTCTTTTTTCTAATTTGTAAGAAGGAGCTGTTTGTGCTCACAGCCACCCTGATTGAGATAAGTACGCAGCGACATTATTATTCAGCCAAGGGCTTTTGCCTTTTCCTAATGAGTGTCTTTCTTCCCACCAGACACGAGAACTCAGAGTTGGATTATCATTCTAATTGAACATAGGCAGAAACAGTGGCTGGACAAGGCCACAGACAGCTTCAGAGAGGTGCACAAAGCTGGGAAGATTTTTGTTCCACCCACTCCACTAGGCTTACTGCCTAGTGACTAACTTCATGAAGCTGGTTGTGCACCCAGAAGCCCATTTTGTAGCAAAGGAGTCTAAGTTTCAGAGTTAGATTTTCTTTCTGAGTAAAGAAACGGCTTACTGCCTAGTGACTAACTTCATGAAGCTGGTTGTGCACCCAGAAGCCTGGCATCCTGACTGGCAGGTCTCTGAATGAGAAGCAGGACCTCTCCCTCTTGAGACATGAGCTTTTGACCCTGGTCCTGTGGCATTTGCACATTCAATACCCTAGTGCCTCTCTGGCATCCTTGAGGGTCTTCTGAGTTCATGCTGAGACAGACGTGCTTCACAGACACTGAGCACCAAAGCTTTCATCCCCACATCTGCCTCCCTGGATTCTACCCCAAGAAACTTCACCCTCCAACTGGTCCCCATTATTGCTCAGATTCAAAGTCCCAAACTGCAGCTTTCCCCTTTCATCCCACATTGCTCTCTGGGTGTCTTTTCCTTGTTCTAAGTGAACTCTTTTCTGTAGAAGTCCATTCTCACCGTAGTCTGACAGACTGTTCTGGTACCTCCTAATGTCTTCCCAACCACATCCCGGCTCTGGCTCCCAGCAGGCTCTTTCTCCTTTTGTCCAGCCAAGCAAACGTTCCTCTTTATGGTCCCAGTGGCTGCTGTTCTTATTCATCTGTTCTCCTCTACCTCATCAGTCTCTTGCCATCACTAGGAACATCTCTGTTCCTCAGACACTGGGATCCTCATAGTTCGTTGACAAACTTGGACAGTGGCTCCTTCTTTCAGCACATCACTTTGGCCTTCCCTCCCCCATAGCTGCTTCTCATGCTTTCAGACCCCGAAGTTCCTGACTGCCCAGTGTTCCTTTCCTTCTGTCTACCCTAGCTCTTCACCATCACCATGAGCTTAAGTCCCTGACTTCTTCCTATCCTCCAAGCTGCCTTGGATCCTGGTTTAACTGCTATCCATTCTGACCTTCAAGGGTGTTGGTGTGATCTGTGTGCCAGTCTGTGCTAGGGAATCTTGGCCCTCTGTCCCGATGGCTTGTTTCACCTCCAGTCTGGCGGACCTTCCAACTTGTTTTTCTCTAGAGCATCAGGAGTCAAGCCGTCCATGTCTGGGGGCCTACTGGTCTTGTTACACATAGGGGCTGGAACCAGGGCCCACTCATCTCCTACATGTTGCCCACTGTGTTCCATGTATCTCCAGCCCCAGGCTTTCCAGCCTTTCTCTAGGGTGTTCTTGTCTTCTTGACCCTGATTTCTGCCTCCTTAAGGAGACTGAACTGTCCACTGGGAGCCCTTCTAAGCGCTCTTCTCTACTTGACTTTTTCTAGACACCTCCTCCCTCTGATTCAAAGGACTGCCCTATCTCATCTTCCCTAGTCATTCTTTATCCTTTCAGAATATCTTCTCCTTTCTTTCACTCCCTCTGTCCCTTGCTGAGTCTTCCTTTCCTTTCCTGGACTGATTCCTCTGAGTCTTTTGCATTCCTGTGTTCATTTTCCTTCCTTTGCTACCACACTTATAGTCTTATTCCCCATTCACTGGGCATCTTGTCTTCCACAACTCACCTCTATGCCCCAAATTCTCTGGAAATGATCTACCAATGGTTGCTTGTTACCTTTTAGTTGTCAGAATGAAAGGTCTTTGGTCCACTGCTGTCCTCCTAAAAAGGTCCTCCCTGAAACTCTCTGACTCACTTCTGTGTTCTTAACTGCTCTGCAGCTTCTGCAAGCTCTGGCCATGCTCCCCCACTGTCTTCTCCTTGGATGGAGCTCCAGAATATGTCCTTTGCTCTCTTCCATGCCCTCCTCACCCTCCTTCCCAAGGGAGGCACAAGCCCTTCCAATGCCCTATCTCCAGAGAGCTGAGCTACATTTACCTCAAGCTCTGTCTGGATTTTTTGCTGTCTTCTTTTCTTACAGTTCTTTTTATTGTAAAATAAACACAGCACAGAGAGAACCATTTTAAGTCTACAGTTCAGTGACATTAAGTACATTCACACTGTTGTAGAACTATCATCACTATCCGTCTTTAGAGCTTTTCTCTTACTGCAAAACTGAAAAACTTCATACCACTTAGACAACATCTGTATTTCCCTCCTCCCCTAACCCTGGGCAACTGCCATTTTACTTCCTATTTATAGGACCCTGACTATAAGTACTTCTCATAAATGGAACCACACACTATTTGCTGTTTTGTGAGTGGCCTATTTCTTAATGTCTTCAAGGGTAAGGCATGTTACAACATGAACCACAAATTTCTTTCTTTTAAGGTTGAATAATATATGCATACTTGTATGGCACTTTGTTTATATATCCATCTTTCAATAGACATTACTGCAGGACCTGTGCTTAGCCCAAGTACACACTAGAAAACACAATAGACATTCAATAGATAGTACCCTTGTCCTTGGAGAGTTTTCAGCCTAAATATTTGAACTTTAGTAATATCTTCCCTAATGTGAGTTATTTGAGGGTACAGACCATAACTGGCTCCAGTGGTGGCCCTCAAATCCAAACAGAGCTTCTGATACAGAATTAACACCCAGCTAAGATTCATGAATGAACTAGTAGATGAACTCAATGGGCACTTACAAATAGATCAGTTTTATAAATATATAACTAGAAAGTCTTCTCTTGAAGTTTCATCCCCAGGGAATGTTTGTGGTGGAAGTTACCTCCAAAC